TGCTTTATCGACGACAGCGGCTGGCCGACGCGGACCTCGGGCTGCTGGGGAGGGAGGCAGGACGAGCGCGGGTGGCCCATTGGGCAGCCGTGCACGCCCACGAGCGCTGCGGCGGCGCTCCTGGAGGAGGCGCGCATGGCAGGGGCGCTCCTGGAGAAGGCGCGCACGGCGGCGGCGCTCCTGGAGGAGGCGCGCACGGCGGGGGCGCTCCTGGAGGAGGCGCGCACGGCGGCGACACTCCTGGAGGAGGTGCGCACGACGGGGGCGCTCCTGGAGGAGGCACGCACGGCGGTGGCGGACGGGTCGATGGAGAGTGCGGCCTTCACAGGCAGCGTGGCTCTCTCTCCCTGGATCGATACCGTGGTTACCACGGGCTCCAGGCTGTCGTTAGGGACGTCGGCCCCGGCGGTGGGTGGCCTACCCTCACTAAGACCAACTACGTCGAGTGGGCTGCGGTGATGAGGGTAAAGCTCTAGGTGCGGCACATGTGGGAGGCAGTCCGGTACGGCGACGTCGACTACGACCTAGATCGACGAGCGCTGGATGCCCTCATCGCTGCAGTCCCGCCCGAGATGCAGTTCTCGCTTACCAACAAGCGGACTGCCAAGGAGGCTTGGGACGCCATCGCTGCGGCACGCATCGGCAGCGACCGCGCCCGCAGGTCCACACTGTAGGCACTTCGCAAGGAGTGGGAGAACCTGGCCTTCAAGCCAGGTGAGGACGTTGAGGACTTTGCTCTCCGTCTCAACACCCTGTTGCAGAAGATGGTGCGTTCGGCGATGACACCTATGGCGAGGAGAGAGCTGTCGAAAAGCTCTTCCGCTGCGTCCCCGAGAAGTACAAGCAGATGGCCCACGTCACACAGGCGGAGGAGGAGCCGGCTCTGTTCATGGCACATGCAAGCATCGAGCTACCTCCAGCGGCACCGGCCGCAACGGCCCTCCTCCACCTTGACGAGCCAAAAGCACACGCCCTCCTCGGTGACGGCTCAAGCAACGACAAGACTGACGGGTGGTGCCTCGACACCGGTGCCACCCATCACATGACCGGTTGATGGGAGTTCTTCACCGAGCTTGACTCTAGCGTCCGAGGCTCCGTCAAGTTTGGGGATGCCTCCAGCATGGAGATCAAGGGCGTCGGCTCCGTCATCTTCACCGCAGTGTCTGGTGAGCACAGGCTGCTCACTAAAGTCTACTACATCCCCGCGTTGAGGAACTCCATCATCAGCTTGGGACAGCTGGATGAGAACAGTTCGCGCGTGGTCGTTGAGGATGGAGTCATGAGAATTTGGGATCACCGTCGTCGCCTTGTTGCCAAGGTATCTAGAAGCGCAAATCAACTCTACGTCCTTAACGTGCAAGTGGCACAACCCCTCTGCCTTGCTGCTCGTCGGGACGACGAGGCGTGGCAGTGGCACGAGCATTTCGGGCACCTTCACTTCGAGGCCCTGAAGCGGCTCAGTGCCACGGAGATGGTGTGAGGCCTGCCGTGCCTCGACCATGTGGAGCAGCTCTGCGACGTCTGCGTGTTGATGAAGCAGAGGTGACTCCCCTTTCCCCAGCGGGCGAGCTTTCGAGCCAAGGAGAGGTTTGAGCTTGTGCACGGGGACTTGTGTGGCCTGGTGACATCGGCCACACCAGGAGGACGACGCTACTTCCTGCTGCTCATTGACGACCTCTCCCGCTACATGTGGGTGATGGTCCTCGGCAGCAAGGGAGAGGCTGTGGACGCCATCAGGCGCTCGCAGGCTGCTGCGGAGGCGAGAGTGTGGCCGTAAGCTGCGTGTGCTGCGCACCGACAACGGCGGTGAATTCATGGCGGCTGAATTCGCGTCGTACTACGCTGATGAGGGCATTCAGCGCCACTACTCCGCGTCGTACAGCCCACAGCAGAACGGCATCGTCGAGCGGCGCAACCAGACGGTTGTGGGGATGGCTTGGGCCCTTCTCAAGCAGAGGGGGATGCCGGCTGTCTTCTAGGGAGAGGCAGTGGTGTCGGCCGTCTACATCCTCAACCGCTCGCCTACCAAGGTGCTCGACGGCAGGACGCCGTACGAGGCTTGGCATGGGCGCAAGTCGGTGGTCTCCCACTTGCGGGTCTTCGGCTGCCTCGCGTTCACCAAGGAGCTTGGCCACATCAGCAAGCTCGACGACAGGAGCACTCCGGGAGTGTTCATAGGCTACGTGGAGGGCTCAAAGGCCTACTGCATCCTCGACCCGAAGACACAGCGTGTGCGCACGGCGCGCGACGTTGTGTTCGACGAAGGGCGATGATGGGCGTGGGACAAGGCGGTGGATGACGGCTCGGCTCCGACGTACGATGACTTCACTATCGAGTACGTCCACTTCGAGGGAGCTGGGGGAGTATGCAGCTCTTCTTCGGCGAGCCCGTCTACCCCAGTCCCCGAGCCTCCACCGACCCCGGCGCCTGCTACTCCGACAGCACTATGCTCTCTAGCTAGGACCTCGACTACGATGAGTCCTTCGCCGGCTCCACCACAGCCGGCAATGCCACGCACTCCAGCACCGACAGGCACCTCTCCGGGCACGTCTACTCCAACACTAGCTCATGTCGAGCACAACCCGGTTGAGCTCGCTACTTCGCTCTCTCACGACGAGGAGCGCATTGACGCGTACCACGATGGCGAGTCATTGCGGTACCGTACAATGGAGAACCTTCTCGGTGACCAGCCGGTGCTGGGACTGGTGCCTCACAACCTGGAGGACCTGGAGGTGCAGTTGCATCTTGCATGTGACGACTGTGAGCCTCGGTCGTTCGCAGAGGCCGAGAGACACGCGGCATGGCGCGCCGCGATGCAGTTGGAGATGGATGCGGTTGAGAAGAACCGCACCTGGGAGCTTGCTGACCTCCCTCGTGGTCACCGCGCGATCACCCTTAAGTGGGTGTACAAGCTGAAGAGGGATGGAGCCGGCGCCATCGTCAAGCACAAGGCTCACTTGGTGGCACGAGGTTTCGTGCAGCAGGAGGGGGTCGACTTCGACGACGCCTTCGCTCCCGTGCCACAGATGGAGTCCGTGCGCCTTCTCCTTGCGCTAGCTGCCTAGGAGGGCTGGCGTGTTCATCATACGGATGTCAAGTCGGCGTTCTTTAACGACAACTTGAAGGAGGAGGTCTACGTGCACCAGCCGCCGGGATTTGTGATCCCCGGCAAGGAGGGCAAGGTGCTCCGCCTGCGCAAGGCCCTCTATGGCTTTCGGCAGGCACTGAGGGCGTGGAATGCCAAGTTGGATTCCACGCTAAAGGGGATGGGCTTCGAGCAAAGCCCGCATGAGGTGGCCATCTACCGACGGGACAGTGGAGGAAATGCTCTGCTGGTGGGTGTCTACGTCGACGACTTGGTGATCACCGGCACCAAGGATGCGGAGGTGGCGGCATTCAAGGAAGAGATGAAGGCCACCTTCCAGATGAGTGACCTGGGGCCTCTCTCCTTCTACCTGGGAATCGAGGTGCACCAGGATGACTCCAGGATCACGCTTCGACAGACCGCCTACGCCAAGCGCGTCGTTGAGCTAGCTGGGCTCACCGACTGCAACCTAGCTCTCACTCCGATGGAGGAGAGGCTAAAGCTGAGCCGTGACAGCACGATGGAGGAGGTGGACGCTACATAGTACCGGCGTCTTGTGGGGAGCCTTCGCTACCTCGCCCACACACGGCCGGACTTGGCATTCTCCGTCGGCTACGTTAGTCGGTTCATGCAGCGACCGACGACGAAGCACCAGCAGGCTGTGAAGAGGATCATCCGCTACGTTGCGGGGACTCTCAACCACGGCCTCTAGTACCCAAGGTGCCCTAGGGTGGCACACTTCGTCGGGTATAGAGACAGCGACCACGCCAGCGACATCGACACCAGCAAGAGCACGAGCGGGATCCTCTTCCTCCTCGGCAAGTGCCTCGTTAGCTGGCAGTCGGTCAAGCAGCAGGTGGTGGCCCTGTCCAGCTGCGAGGCCGAGTACATAGCGGCCTCCACCGCTTCGACTCAGGCGCTCTGGCTCGCTTGACTGCTTGGTGATCTCCTCGGTAGAGACACTAGAGCGGTGGAGCTCAGGATGGACAGCAAGTCCGCTCTGGCCCTGGCAAAGAACCCTGTTTTCCATGAATGGAGTAAGCACATCCTGGTGAGGTACCACTTCATCCGAGGCTGTTGGTGGAAGGGAGCATCAAGGCGAGCTACATCAACACCAAGGACCAGCTTGCGGACCTGCTTACCAAGCCTCTTGGGAGGATCAAGTTCCTTGAGCTCTGCACCAGGACCAGGATGGTTCAACTTTCCCACAAGACGACGCACAAGACTTAGGGAGAGAATGATGGATAAGTCTCTGTGTTGGCTGGTCTTTGTGGGGCTACAGCATGGTGGTCTTGCTGCTCATTAAGGACAGCATCCTTGACTAGCTATGACAGCATCTTAGCATCTAGGACAGCATCTTAGCATCTAGGACAACATCTAGGACAACATCTAGGACAGCATCTTGGACAACATCTTGGACAGCATCTAGGACAGCATCTTAGCATCTAGCATCTTGGCATATTGGCATATGCTTGGCTGGCTAGCAGCCTATAAATATGTATCCCCAACCTCTTAGGTTGGCATGACATTTGTGTGAGAAATAAACCAGAAAATTGCCCCAACTCCTAGTGTCATCCTCTCTCGATAAGAGTAAGAATTCTGCTAATACCAAGAGTAAGAATTCAGCAACTAACAATACATACCGAACTAATGTCTAGAATCCAACTATATTTTTCCACTTTGTCGCAAAATCTGGCTGCGTTTCACCAGTATTGTCTGTTATATCTATTATATGTTTTAGTATACCACTACTAAAATTTCTACCCTTCAATTATTAGCGCCCCCTTTGCCTCATTTCTGGGTCCGCCACTGAATTCGTTCAGTTAGGTTTGGAGGGTTGCACTGGCTTGAGAGCTCATACCAATTTTCACCCCACTGAATCTTGTCGTTCTTTACCTGAACTGTCCCCCCTGCTATGCACCCTGTTTCAGTCCCCTCCCAGCCCTTTACGACAACTCCTGCAAAACAACTTGTTTCAAGGTAATCCATTTATGTAACCTCTTAGCAAATTGTGTGGTCTGCTATTGCTCCTGTGTCGCTGCTTCTCATAATGGTATCTGTTATTTCTTGGCATTAGGAGCACTGCTGTGAGGAAGGCCATCCATTTTGTCAACCTACGGAGAGCTGGAAGGTCTAGTGGAAACATGGCTATGAATTCCATACCGAAACCTGCCCTTGGGCCCGAAACATCTGGGAGGGAGGATTTTGCTGTGGGGGATAAGGATGCTGTGGTCATTGTTGATCATGGATCAAGACGCCAAGAATCCAATCTCATGCTAATAAACCTGATTTTTCTTGCAAGCCTTATCTTTTGCATTCACGGTGCTTTTACTGTGTCTTGATTCGTTTATTGAAAAATGCAGATGACTTTGTTGAGATGTTCCGGGCGAAGACTAGCTATAGGATTGTTGAGCCTGCTCATATGGTATTTTTCGTTGTTCCAGCCTTTTTATGCCTTACGTTTTTTCTTTGTGAGAAATGGAAACATCTAATTTATTAATGCACCTAAAGCTTCTAGCATCATCCAAATTTTCGATACAAATCATTACTGTGCTTGTTTACAATTTTTCTAAAAAAAAGTAGGCATCAGTATTCAGTAAATCAACTTGTAAGTTGAATTCTATGTGACCCACAATCTGTTTGGATTGGGAAATTTGGATCAGCATGTTTTGAATGTAAGTATTAACGTGTTTTCTTATCATTACTAATTTGTGTATTCTTTGCTTAGCCTAAGTCTGACTCTGCTTTCGAGCTATGCATTGCACCTTATATTGTTCAGTGCCATCTCATTCATTCAGAATTATCATGATTGATTTTGTTCGGTATCCTATGCGGTTTGTTTGTATTTAATTGCTGCAATTTATACTTGACTCTGGATATCCTGTACTTAAACTCTCAAAGGACAATACAAGGCTGATTCCACCTTATTGAATCAAATAGATAAAGTAGTTATGGAATATAGAATCTGTCCTCATTTTGCTTATATTGTTTTTTAAGGAAATACAGTAGATAACTTTACCGAGATATATATTATATATAAAAGAAAAGGAATAAGATAACTGTACCGAGAAAAAGGAGAAAACAAAAGTGGAGAAAGACTAAACAGGTAGAAATCATTTACACAAGAAAGAGAGATCATCTATGGCTTTCTTTTGTCCTGTGTGATTTGGAGAAGGATTTCCACATTGAAGCTCTTTTTCCTGACATTGAAATTGGGTTTCCATCCTTGAAAGACCAGTCCATTTCTCCATTTCTTTGCTTCCCAATATCCAAATATGCGAGGCTGCGATTCTGTCATTTTCCATAAAGAAGGGTTGTTGAAAATCAATTTTCTCTTTGACCAGCACATTGAAGAAATTTAGTTTTGTGTCCCAAATTATTCCAAGGTAATTCCAGCATCTAATACTGAAGCTACAACCAAAGAACAAATGGAGGATGAATTCTTGAATTCTGTATATATTGCATCTGCTTTGAAGATCTCTTGTATTGGGTTTTAAGCACTTTGACTTCAGATCCATAGTATAGGTCGGGCAATGAGATGTAGATGTTTTTGGCAAAGGAAAAGGGCATGGGAAACTATCATTGCATTAGTGGAAAACAAAATAGTACCACCCAGATAACATAATGCAATTCCTCATAACAGATTGTAGAATGACATATTGTGTCTCCACCAAAAAGAGCCTTTTCCCAGTGGCATGTGGTGCCATTTCACCTCTTAATGGCCTTATCCTAGAATGAGAAGATAGAACACTGTTTTCAACAGGCTGTATGTAGCACTGGAAACTGAAATTTTACTAAGAGCAGACATTAATCTTTTACATAGTAGCCACTTGTCCTTAGCAGCCAATGGGACCAGATGCAACGTCCTTATTTTGTTAGCTTTCTTTACTTATATGTTCTTTCCCTTTAATGTCTGGTTCAGTAAATTCAAAACATAAACACAACTCTTTTAACTCTTAGACCATACATTTTCTGTTCAGAGCAAAAAACAAAACCAAACTAGTGCGGGTATTATTCTACTCCCTATGTAAAAGTTTTCCCATTATTAGTCTCCATGTAGAATTAGTTGGCTTGTAAGTTTTTTTTCCTTGAGCACACAAGATAAATGTGTATCATTTCATTAAGGAATAAGGGAATGCACTGGGGAAAGGAACTGCCTAAAACACACACCTACACACCCCCTAACAGGAAGTTTAGATTTAGTTCCCTTTTTTTGGATGTTTAAAAATGCATGCATCTGTTCTTGTCCTCTTAGTATAATTTTACTCTGGAGTGGTGATACTCAGCTGGTCTTCTGGTTGAAGTAGTGAAAAGATTATAAGCTCTCATTTCGTTAGTATTCCATTTGGCCATCTTAGTCCATTGTGCTTGCCAAAGTTGGCCAAATCCTTGGCCGCCATTTTGGCAACCAAAAATTTGCTTAGCTAATACATGGAATATTTGGGTGCAAACCAAACTGGCCCTAAAAAACTTTTGCAGAAGACATGTAACTGACAGCTTGACACTGACTTGCTAGCCAATTTTGAAATTTCCAGCTTATGCTCAAACCAATACATATCATGTTGCCAATATCTACCAAGAAACAATTCAGGTTACTGCCTCATGGTATTATGGTTTAGAATAGAAATCATCAACCACTGGATTTCTATGGTTAAGAGAAGCATTTGCGGCTGTCATGGCCCTCATCTTTTCATTTCTGATGCTTTATGCAACATTTAGGTGATTCAATCATCAAACCACTTGTCAAGAATTATTGTGATTTTCAAACTGCAATTGAATAAATTGTTGAATAATATTGTATTATCGTTGCTTAGAGCCATTTCACCGAATATTGGAGATCACACCATAGTGCCACTATAGTGAACCTTTGGTAATGTACCTCTTGTGTTCTACAAAACAGTTGAACTTAATGCCTATTGACCAAGTTAAAGAATATATCCATCTTTGTTCATCAGTTTGGTGAAATTAATGCTGCTGATTGGAATCAGTTAAATACAACATTAAGTGATTTGAATGAAAGGTGACCTGGCATATAGCAATCTATACGATAGCAGTTAGCACCATATTTACCTGCATTCTATTTGATTTATATTGTACTTGGGGCTCTTTTTTTAGTAGCTCTTGGTGTATTAATTGTTCAATGTTGGATGAAAAGTGGGTGTGTTTATGACCCTATTTGTGCTGCATTTCTTTTCCTGCTAAATGTATGTATTGCTTAATCTCTTTTGCTGCCATTTTCTTTATTTCCTGATTTCTAGTTCTTTGTAGTGTTAATTGGTAATGGCTGGTGTTTATTGGGTCCAGTTATCGTAGTATTCTTTATTTTCCTTGTGATCGGTAAGTTTTGTTGCTTTACCTTCCAGTTTCTTAAAAAACGCAGGAGCTAGCGGAGCCTACTATAAAGGATGCTTTTGGAAAATGTGTTCAACAAGGAGCATCCCGAGTTGTTGTTAGTCCATATTTCCTTTCCCCTGGACGACACTGGAAGCAAGTATATTTTTTTTCCTTTTTTTTGTATTTATGTAAGGTTGACAATGCTTACTGATAAGGGTGTTAATTGTTAAAGGTGCTTATTTAGGATGAAGATGTGTATCTACCCTTTACATATAGCTGCATATAATAGTTATGTTCAGACAAGGATTTTCATATGCACTGACACCATGCATGATTGATTTTTCTCAGGACATTCCTGCTTTAGCAGCAGAGGCATCAAAGGAGCACTCAAATATACCCTATGTTGTCACTGCCCCTTTTGGGCTGCATGAGCTTATGGTGGTATGTGCTTGTGAGTTCCCTCTAGATTATTTCTATCATTTTCAGAAGTTGTTAGTAGAGAAGCAAAGTAGATATGACGTGAATCTGATTTGCAGTTATAAACACTTAACAGTTGTGGAATTTTGTGATAAAGAATTTTGTTAACAAATAGATCGCTAGAATTGCTGTCCTCTTCTGGAAAAAGAATGTTGAAATTTTCTACAAAACATAATTACAATATTTGTTTAAATAGTGGCCTTGCTGACCTTCATGCATGTCTACCTTGATGAACTATAGTTGCATAGTGATTAGTTTTGAAGGTCCAGTGGCATTTAAGCACTTATACTGTAAAGGCTTATGTAGCTACTAGTGTCAGAAATGAACTATAGTTGTATATAAATGTATAAAAAGCAAAGCTGGCATTCTTCATGTGCATAATCGTCAGTCTATATGGGCTATGATCTGGAATTCCGGTATGTTACCCATGACTGTCCTCGTTATCCCTGCGTTCTTCCTCTCAATCCCAGCTACTCTACGCACTCCTCCCCGCCGGTGCCGTATAAATTTTGTATCAAAGACCAGCACTGGGGCCTCGCCATCCATGGCCAACCCTGCTAATCCTGCGGAGATGGTGGCAAAACTGGATCGCATCCTGGGGCAGCTCACCACCCTCAACAACTGGATGGACTCCCATGACAAGCACATTGCGCGGACGGAGAAGTTCCATTACGGGGATGACGCCGGGCATCACTGAGAACTCTGGGCAACCACGGCGGGATCACAGCGGCCGCGACACTGAATTCGAGGACGACCGTGGCCGGGATTCATTCCGCGGCGACGGCCACGAACGCGCCCTCTACTTCGACCGGGCTGTCCGCATCCCCCGAAGATCAACTTCCCCTGCTTCGACGGCGAGTCCGACCCCCTTGTCGTGGCTGGACAAGTGCGACAACTACTTTTGCGGCCACCGCACCTTGGAGGAGAACGTCTGGCAGGCGTCTTTCCATCTGGACGGCGCCGCCGCGTACTGGTAGTACCAGATGGAACAGGATTTTGGCCTCATTTTGTGGTCGCGCTTCATCGAATTCATCAACCTGCGCTTTGGGCCTCCCATCCTCTCCAACTCTCAACGAACTCAAAGCCTTGCAGCGCACCGGTTCGTGGACTACCAGCGCGGCTTTCTCGCCCTACTGTCCCACTGCGAGGAGCTCACGACGCAGCACAAGATCGACCTGTTCACAGGCGGACTGGGCTAGCCGCTTGCCTCCGATGTTGAGCTCCAACGGTTGGCCAACCTCCAGACGACCATGAGCCTGGCCATGGCCTATGAGCACCGCCAACTCAAAGCATCGTCGGCCGCGGGGGTGACCGCACCTTGCTGTGCTCCCACCACGGCATCCTCGGCGGCGTCTGGAGCCCATCCACCGAAGGGGCCGCGTCCATGTTTCCGCTGCCTCACCCTGGCCTAGATCACAGAGAAACGACAGAGCGGGTAGTGCTACTTCTACCACGAGCAGTACATGAAGGACCATAAGTGCTCCACCAAGGGCGTCTTCCTCCTGGAGCTAGAAGGGGAAGAGGATGACCT